GGCGGTGCGTGAACGCGCCGAGCCGCCTGTGTCACTGGCAGAGGTCGCTGGTTTGGGCTGACGGAGGGAGCGCGTCCCTGCGTGTAAGGGCGCATCACCTGTGCCGGGCAGCTGCGATAGCGCCCGCCCGAGCGGCTGTAAAATCCCGGGGCGGCGTGGGGAAACACTGCTGCTTTTTGAGAGAAATCCTTCTTTTTTGAGACTTTTGGTGTTTAGGTGTAGGTCTCTGATGTGCTAGCCAGCGATTAGACCATTTTAAAGCGTAACACCACTTCCCTGGCCACTTAATCGTGGAGTGCTCGCTCTTTTTGTTGTGCAAATGTTGAATATGTTTGCAGAACTTGGCACTGAAGCAAAGATTCTTCCTCCTTAATGCGGCTGCTGTATTTTTTGCACAATTTTTCCCACTTTTCCTGTAGTCACCAGTGTTGTGAGGTAGGACTTGTTTGCTGAGCTTTAAATAACGAAAGTAACATGCATATGTTACTAATTTATAAGCCTGTATCTCTTCTATCACAAAAGCACCTGCCATAATAAACTCCTGTTTAGCCTTGTTCTGCGCTGGGATTTATTCAATTGTTGTGTTAGTAGCACACTCTGAGCAGCTGAAAGAACAAATGGGTTTTGTTTTTGCTTTTTAATCAGGAATAATGTCAGGCAGGTGAAGGGGAGGAAGGAGTGCGGGTGTAACTTGATACGAAAATGAGCAAACTCTCTTCTGTTTACTTGCAAGGCAGGGTTTGGAGAAAGCGAACTTTGGTAGGCTGGGTCCGTTTGCCAATGGAGGCTCCTGGAACTGCAGGGACCTTTTCTGAAGAATCAGTACTTTGATCACATGCTTTTTCCTCCTTTTCTTGTCCGTGACCTAGTGCAGTTCACCTCCTTATGTGGGAACAGGCTACGTGCCCCTGAGGCTGTTTGGTGGCGATATTCTTGACTCACATAGAATAACAGCAAATAAAGAATTCAATTTAACAGCTGTGAATAGATAAGTATTTTTTATAAGCCAGGAAATCAGCGTAGTGTAGGAATGACACAAAAGTCAATTTATACTTAGATACACATGGAAAAAGCAAAGTTAAAACGGATTTCATTTAGCCAAGTCTTTCATTTGCCCATTAAATAGATATTTGTGAAGCTGGGTTTTTCTTCCTTTGGTCGGATAGATAAAAACATTGTTATCATAGTGGTTTGGGGTTGTTTAGAGAAGGTCTTTGTGATTTTGGATAGTGTGTGAAAAAAATCCATCATGCTGAAGGCATCAGCAACAAGGTATCATGAAAGCAGCTGAGGTTTCGATTAGCGTTCATCATCTGACATACAGGCGAGGTTGGTGTATGGTTGACCAGAAAGGTCAATCTCCATCCTTAGAGATACGGAAAACTCAACTGGAGAGGTCACTGAGCAACCCAAGCTAACTTGCAGGACATCCCTGCAAAAGTCCCTCTTACCCTAAATTGTTCGGTGTTGATCCTCAGGGGTTAGAGTAGAGAAAGCTACTGTTGAGGTGCAATGCTGTTTGTAGGGACCTCTGTAGGCACCCACCATTGGCGGTGTGTTCAGTGGGGTTCTCGGGGTGGAGACCCTCATGTTCTGAGGATCTGATGGACCTTCCAGGGCTTCCTCCAAATTTGAGAGGAAAAAAGTCATTTGTGCCAAAACCAACAGCTGCAAGACCAAAGCAAGAAGGTGTATGAGTCTCCAAGGTATTTGTGGGTATGCTAACACTTCATGAAATCCCTGACTAATGTTAATTTTTCAAATAAGCAGCTGCAACAGTTCTCACGGGTTTATTTAAACACAGTTGGTTTAAACTGACCATGAATATAGCTAGGGCAGGGGAATTAAATGAAGGGTTCTGGCTATCAAAACAGAAAGATGCTGGAAGAAGATTATATGGCATGGTTGATTTTCAGGCTTTTTTTCTGGTATCACTGTCCTTCCTCCTGTCCTCTCCTTATGTCCAAATATAGTCTTCAATGTTATCTTCGTTGCCATCTGAGATACGCGCTATATGGTATAAAAAATATTTTGCACCAAGGTTTAAGGAAGATGGTCACGTGTCAGAAGTGATCTCAAACTGCAAATCCCTGAACAGCAGTGATTTCAGTGTTACTAAAACCAGTATCTATTAATGCATAGTTGATGCATTAGGGAGGCTTTTAGGGATGATGCTGCTTTGTTAAACCCTGGCAGGACGAGAAGGACACACTCCACATCAGCAAAGAAAATCCTGACTTACTGAGGTTGCCAGCTGTGTTATGCCCTTTTAAGGAATGCTGTTTCCTATAGCTTCTAGGGTGTTTCCTATAGCTTCTAGGGCAGAGCATTTAAAGATGTTGCTAATGCTTCGGCATTTTAACTTCAGCATAGGAGAACTAGGTGGTTTGAAGAGCGTAATTTACATTCATTTATACTTCTTCAAATACCTAAAAGGAAATTACAATTCATCTGCTTCCATTGGAAAGAAGTGCTTTTAGGAAAGATGTTTTCCTCCTGAGGCAGAGCTAAAGTACCTTACTGGGACTGAGCTCAGCTAAGCCAGATGATTGCTTGTAAAGAAAGAAACCTGTTGGTAGTCTTTGAAGTTCACCCTAGAACAGGGGAAGATGTTGTTTGGAGGTTGCACTTCAGTCCCGTTAGAAGAAAGGTAACGGTGCAGTCCTTGTGTATACATCTCTGCCCATGGCAAAATGCTTTCTAAGTTCGGTATCCTATATTTGAATTCAGGGAAGTGATTGTTGAAATTCTGCGAAGTGAGATGCTTACTCTGGTACTTGCTCATTTGAAATCTCCTAGAAATCAGGGCTCTGCCTTAAGTGTATTTTTTTTAAAAAATAAAGTCAGTTTTTGCACCAAACAGGAGTAGAACAAGGATGTTTGAGATTAATGAGTCTGCTTTCAATTTTTTTTTCTTTAATAAAAAATAACTAAAACACAAAAATACAGCCCGCTGAAAGGGTCAGAGCTAATAATAATCCCAAAAAGTCCTGGCATCCAGTTCAGCTTTTATGATGCACTTGACATTTGAAAACTATCTTTTTATGCTAGTCTGGTATTATGCTAATAGCTAAGCTAACCGTTATCTTGTTTTTCTGTTGTAGTACAATAGGGTTTGGATCCCTGATAATGAAAAAGTTTGGCAGTCTGCAGAAATCACAAAAAACTACAAAGCTGGAGACCGTTTTCTCCATGTGCAATTAGAAGATGGAACTGTAAGGAGAAAAGCCTTAAATTATTGTGGGTTTTGCTGGGATATGTTTATGTAGAAACATGGGACTCACCATTACAGGATCTAAATGACTTGTCTATATTTTCTTTTATGCTAACCCTGCAGTGACCAGAATTCTATTGTATTGAAATTTGTACAGTAAACAGCTGTTACCTAACAATATGAAGAGTGGAATTCTACTATCTGTATCACATTAGGATAGAACACATACCTCAAAGAAGAAAGATCACTTCACTTTTGAAACAAGCACTGAAACTCATCTTAAGTTGAAGTAAATCGGAAGTGCACGACGGGCATAGTTATCTCTCACAGAGCTAGCTGTTGCTTTTTTCCCCTAAAGTTGTTGCTTTATGTAAGATCTGTTAATTTTAGTATTTGAGTTCTTTACAGATGTAATATTTTGAAAATAGTATTTCTGCATTTCTGTTCTGTAAAGACGAGTATTAAATGTATGATTAAATGGATTTGTTGAAAGAAACAGAAGTGAGTTTTAAATTTTGTATAAAGAAAACTGAAGGGTTGCAAGTAAGGATAGTTTTAGAGCTCTCTTAAGTTCTGACCAGGTGTTTACTTTCATTCAGTTGCAGCTGGTATACCATTTTGATCTGTACTTGAAATATGCATGTGTTTAGAGAGCTCAACACACTCCTCATTTTTACAGATTTCAATACAAAATACTGTAAATAAAGAGAATGTAGCTTTCTTTTTAATAAACAATGAAGAACCCCATCTTACTTTCATGATCTCCAGATCCCTTAAGTTCAGTGAGGTGTATGGAATTGATGAAATACAAGATCAGACAGGACTCCATCAACCCAGTAACTTTGTGTAAAGATAGAACATCAGTTTGTGTTTATCCAAACATAATACATTTTATGATATTTCAAGTCATTGTTGTTGACAGGAACTGAATTACCCTGTTGATCCAACTGCTTTGCCACCCCTACGAAATCCTGACATACTTGTTGGTGAAAATGATCTCACTGCCCTTAGTTATCTCCATGAACCAGCCGTTCTACACAATCTTAAAGTTCGTTTTGTGGAGTCTAAGCTTATCTACACCTATAGTGGTAAGCAAAGTCAAATGCAAGGTTTAAAAAAAAATTCTTTAAAAAAAGAATCTTGGGTTAGTTTGCAATATGATGGGAGTAAGGTTTTCCACAAGTGTATTTTAACTCATTCAAGTTTTTGTATGAGTATAGTACTTGTTTGTTGATCAGGATCTCCTACCTAGTTTAGAAAATATTGCAACTTTGTATCAGTTTAACTGTTGTTGCCAGTTTTCATTGAACTAACATATGTTTTATTTTTGTTTTGTACACTTGGTTGTAGGAATAATTTTGGTTGCAATAAACCCCTATAAACAGTTGCCTATATATGGAGATGCTATTATCCATGCATATAGCGGGCAAAACATGGGGGACATGGATCCGCATATATTTGCTGTGGCAGAAGAAGCATACAAGCAGATGGCAAGGTTCAGTATGTTGTTTAAAGTCTATAACTAACACTTGAAGTCCAGTGGCAGTCAGTGTTAATTATAATTTAATTTGTGTATATGCCACTGGCTATTAAGAATACCCTTGAATGGGTAACTTAACTAGCGGAGGAGTAATTCCTTAACCAGCTGAGGAATTTCTAGAACTCATAACTGTTTTCATTCTTGATGAGGGGCAAAACACTGTCTTAGCTGAGTGAATAGCAATGAGATCAGCCTAGAGGTTACAACCAAAGAGGAGTAAAAGAGAAGAACAGATGAAAGATGGAACTGATACGAGAGTTGAGCACAGTTGTGTTTTCGTACAGTTGTTTCACATATAAAATTCTTGCGTTTATACATGCATTTTAGACATATCTGATTTAAACTGTCTGACTATTTGGTTTTAGAAATAACAAAAATCAGTCTATTATAGTCAGCGGAGAATCAGGAGCTGGAAAGACTGTGTCTGCAAGATACACTATGAGATACTTTGCCACTGTGAGTAAGTCAAGCAGCAATGCACATGTGGAGGACAAAGTACTGGCATCCAATCCGATAACCGAGGTAAATTTCAGAGAGTATCTGTCAGGTCTGTACTCATCAAGGAAAGAATTCTGAGAGCTGCTGAGCATCTTTGTTTGAAATCTTCAGGGATGTTTTAGCTGCCTGAGTTAGATATCTAAATTAGAAGTTTAGCCTCTGAATGTTACCGATGGAAAGAGGCAGTTAGCTTCAGGAGCACTCAGGTTCTGCCTAATTTACCAGTAGCCCTTTGGAGGCACTAGTTTGCCTCCAGAGTTTTATCTGACCGCATCCTGTTAATTAGATGATGGGAAAACAATATTGAACAAGATAAACAGTAGAATATGGTTAAGGTTTCTTACGGTGGGAAAAATGTAGTTTCTCTAATTCTCAGTTTAGGTAGTGTTATACTATTGGACTTGAGGCTTATTTTCAAATTTGGGCCTCAAAATTTAAATCTCACAGCTCAATGCTGAGGTTGATCCTTGAGCACCTGAGATTTCAGGAACTTGTAATTGAATCATGTTTTGAGAAAGTTATGGAAGATGCTAGTAAAACAAATTCTAAAAGTTCATCATTTTCATAGGCTGTTGGCAATGCAAAAACTACACGGAATGATAATAGCAGTCGATTTGGAAAATACACTGAAATCAGTTTTGATCAGAGTTACCAAATCATTGGAGCTAACATGAGAACATACCTGCTTGAGAAATCCAGGGTTGTCTTTCAGGTGGGTAAAACAAAGTTAAAACCAGTCAATGTCAGTATAGCTACTAATGTACTATCCTTTACTAGTTTCATATAGAATATGTTACGTGAAGTTCTGAATAGTATATCTGATCAGCATTTGATTTATTTTTTAATAGGAGCTAATCTTTTTTGTAATAAGAAACTAATTTATTCCATGTTCTTCCTTATGTTAAGTGGAGGATGTATCTCAGGAAAAATTCCCTGAGATAAGTGCAAGAAATATTTGAGAAATCTGTGACTTTCAGTCACGATAGTAACACGTGCCAATTGTATCTGGAAAGGAACAGCGTACGTAGGGGAAAGGGACTCTCGGTAAAAAACTGGCTGAAAATTTCTAAGGCCAGAGCTTATTGCATGCGACTCATTACAGTGTCAGACCATAACTGGGATAATCCTCTAAAGAAAGCGTTTAATTTTATAAAACTTGTGTTTATGAAGTTTTGCTTTTTAGCAGTATTGTAACTTTTTAAGTACTATGAAAAATACTTCTATATATCTGGTGCTTGAAGGATGGTTTGGAAATAGAGAGTTTTCCGAGTTACCATGGGGCAGCATTTCAGCTGGCACTCCTACGCAGTTGTTCATTACAGTATTTGTCAGTTCTTATTAGCAGATGGTTGTTCAGCCTGAAGAAATTATTAGAGTAACAGCCCTGGGGAAAGAACTCAGCATATCAGTAATGGAAATAAAGTATACTTGAATTTATCACTTCCAAAGCTCTTGTTGAAGTCTACGATGTGCCATTTTAATATTGGGCAATTTCTATGCCAAAATACGTTGCAGCAGAATTTAGCCTTGAAGTACCGTTGTCTCTTTACGGTAGTGTTGAATATTGAATGTTTTTCTGTTTGTTTGTTTGTTTTGGGTTTTGTTTTTTTCTTTTTGTAATGGTATTCTTTGCTTTAATTTACAGTCCGAGAATGAGAGAAACTACCATATATTTTATCAGTTGTGTGCATCTGCCATGCAACCTGAATTTAAGCATCTTAAATTGGGTAGGTCTCAAGAAAATAACCTACTCTTCATTTTTGCAGTGCAGTATTTTGAAGATCGGATTCTCAAGTGCTAGGATGTTAAGTGCTTTATAGCATAAATCTCACAGACTTACAATGAGACTTCCATTTTTAAGTCACTTAGCTATTAATCCTGCTTGTATTGAACTTGGTAGCAAATCCCTAGTAACTTGAATAACGCATGATCAAGTACCTCAGTGTCTTTGAAAATCGTATTCTAATACTAATAATGTAGTGACAGATACCATAATGACAGTTTAGGGGCTTGATTCCTTTATCTACAGAGAAGCTTTAATGCCACCTGGGAGCAGCAGACCTTAGGTGTATGTTTACTCAGTCTTCATTCCTGTTTGTTTGTTAGATCAAGTATTAAGATTGTTAGGAATTATGCATACTAATTTGTGTCAGCTTGACTGAGTTAGGCACGTGGATTTCTCTCAGAAAAAAGAGGACCTCCAGCTCATTGCTGAAGAGCTGTCATCTGACAGCATCTTTAATTTTCTGGTGTTACAAGAGTCTTTAACAAGTGGCTATCCCCAGTCCTGAATTTTCCAGCATTACAAGTTTTGGTTTTTATCTACAGGAAGTGCAGAAGAATTTAACTACACAAGAATGGGTGGCAGCACAGTAATAGAAGGAGTTGATGACAGAGCAAATATGGTGGAGACTCAGAAGACATTTGCCTTACTGGGTAAATTCTTGGGGATACCTTTCAATAGACTTAAAAATTGTTGGGTTCTTTTTTCTGAAATTGGCAGAAGTGGATTGTTTCTGAAATGTCCAAAACTTTAGTAGTAATTACCAAAATAATTTCTTTCATAGCTTATCCATTGCAGTGTTGGTCTGTTTTAAGTACTAGGCAAGAGCAAATGGCTGTTAGCAATTGGTGTTCATTGTTAATGGTCAAAATCACTAAGGGCTGCAGTCGTCTTGGCCCTGAAGCTAACATGCTGTGACAGAAGTGGAATTGGAAGCTTTTTTGCCCGTATATGGCTTATGTGAAAGCCAAATCAGACTTGAGCTGGTACTTGGGAAGGTGCAGGAATTTACGCCTAATCTCTCATGAGATCAGACAGGCAGAAAGTAGGCAAAACCAAGGCTTTGCATAGTTGTCTGCAGAGATGCTATACAATTTTTGGCTACACAGCAAAGCAAATAATCCAGCATTGTACTATTTTAATTAATTTTACTGTTTCTGAGTATTTAAAATAATCAAGAATGTTTGGTTTTTTTTTTTAGATCTGAAGGGGGATTTTCAGATGGATGTTTTTAAAATACTGGCAGCAATTCTACACTTAGGCAATGTGGAAATAACAGCTGTTGGAGATGAAAGGTCATCCATCAGTGTAAGGAAGTTGCTCATTCAGATACCAACATTTTCTTTTATATTCCATGTAAAAAATCCTTTAGCAATAGTTTTTCTCCTATCTGGGGCTCAGAGCAGCATTAAATCTGGTATACTAAGCTTGACAGATTTCTCCATCTGTATAGAATCACAATGAGTGTTTATGCGAATCGTGTATTGTGCCCAAGTTCAGAAAGCCTGAACAAAAGGCAAAATGTAGCTAAGAGAACCCCACATCCAGTTGATCCACAGCTGTTGGAAAAGCCATTTGGGACTGTCGGCAGGATACAGGAAACAGAACATTGTCAAAGCTGCTCAGAATGTGTCCTAGCAGACTAGGCAAGTCTAAAAAGCAAGGGCACCTAAACATAGACTAAAGTAATTTTTTCTTTCAGTGTCTTAGTCCACAGCATCTCATTCAGTCTAAGTTTTTCTCTCCTATATCAGGAGCTCTATCCAGTATTATTTGCTTTAGCTGCTCTTGATATTTTGCCAGACAAAAAAGTGAACAGAGCCCCTTGCCTATGTAAAAATAAAGGTCATAGTTTGATGTCAGTGGTGCCAGGATTTCACTGTCTAGACAACAGTTAAAGTATTAAATGTAATCTAATAATATTTATTTATCTTCTTTAAAGCTGGAAGATAAACATCTGAATATATTCTGTGAACTTCTGGATTTAAACTGTGACAAAATGGCACAATGGTTGTGCCACCGAAAGATTATCACTACCTCAGAGACGGTAATAAAGCCAATGACAAGAGCTCAGGCTGTTAATGCAAGGGATGCTCTGGCAAAGAAGATCTATTCTCATTTATTTGACTTTATTGTGGAAAGAATTAACCAAGCTTTGCAGTTCCCTGGCAAACAACATACTTTTATTGGTGTTTTGGACATTTATGGGTAAGAAAGTAAATTTGTTTCCGGAGGCATTAAGTTGTGCCTTTTCTTTGGAGTTGATAAGAGACTCTCTTCAATTTGTGCTACTCATGAATTTGGGGTGGGTGGGTGTTGTTTTTACTAAAGGTCATAGTCATGTAAGTTCGTTAGCATCCAGAGTAGTGGAAATGTTCAGCAACTATAAATATTAGTATTTTTTGTGAATGAGGTTTAAATTTAACTTTCGATACGATACTTTTAGATTTAAGTCTGGATTTTTTAGCTCTGTTGTATCTGGTAACTAACTTCTAGGGAAGTTTTGAAATGCCTTAGCATCTTCATTAGTCTTATGGCTATTTAATTTTCTTAGAAATATTAGGATAGCTCCAAAGTCTTACAGGGGTACTACCATTTGTATTTAAATGTCAGGGGATTTTTTTCTCTTATTTGACATGTGTTTCAGCTTTGAAACATTTGATGTGAACAGTTTTGAACAGTTTTGCATCAATTATGCTAATGAAAAACTGCAGCAGCAATTTAACCTGGTATGTTCTTTTATTTGTTACAGTTCTTTATCTTATTTTGCTTCAGTTTTGAGATTATTAGTAATGGATATTAGCAAATGCTGTTTGTATTTGAGCAATGGATATTTTTGGATAATGGCTATCCAGTAATAGATAAAAATATTTTACTTCTGTATATACACATACATACACACACACACACACATATATATACAAATGAAAATTTCTGACTTTTTCTTACAAGGCAGACCTGTAGTAGAAACAAAATATTTATATATTTTGTAGTATATCTTATATATACAATCACACACATGCACACATTGCATATAATTTCTTCCTTAATTATAACCTTACATTTTCATAATTTTCACATATCTAGCATGTCTTTAAACTTGAACAAGAAGAATATATGAAGGAAGATATCCCATGGACTTTAATAGACTTCTATGACAACCAGCCTGTCATTGACCTTATTGAAGCTAAAATGGGAATTTTAGAGCTTCTGGATGAAGAATGCTTGGTAATTTAAAAATTCTTGTATTTATGAGCTCATAAAAAACTATATAGATTTTTACAAGTTGGGCTTGTAATTCATATTTTGCCCTTCTAAATGGGAAGTAGAGCATTTTCCTCATAAAAAGAACATTAATGTTTGCCCTCTATTTGTTAGTTTTAATTGTAAGCCACTTAGTTTATGTTTCTCTTATTAAATTAAGAACCTAAAACTGGATTCTTACCTAGAAGCTAACCCAGCAACTAGATTTCTTCACTGTGAGGGTAGTGTGGTACTAGAACAGGTTAAGCAGAGGTGCGGTGGGATCCCCATCCTTGGATACTTTCCGGATTTGAGTTCCAATGGCAGCTTGATCTAGTGTTGGTGGTAGGCTTGCTCCGAGCAGGAAGTTCAACTACCCAGTCTCCAGGGGTCTCGTCCACCAATATTTCTACAATTCAGTTTTTACATGAATCACTAATTTTTATACAAAAAAACAGTCTTCCCTTCCTTTTTTCTAAGTTCTTGTTGAATGCACCAAACTTACATCTTTGCTTTTTGTTCTTCAGTCTTACTGTTTTTTTTCTCTGTGCTCTATCCTGACTGTACCAATTCCTGAATCTTTTTTTTTTTTCTTCTACGTACATGTAGTTCCCTTAGGCTTCCGAACCTATTGAAGTAGCTTTGTCAGTGAAGAACAGGGCAGGGAAAGGTAAGACCTGTTAAAATGGTCTCTAAAAGGTGTTTTGGTGATATTGACAAGTTGTACTTCTCAGAATCCAAACCATGGAGTAACATGGGAGAAACTGGGGAATATTCCCTAACTCATTAGCTTATCTGTTATTCCGCTCGTAAGCATTTTCAGGGATCAGATTGTCCCTGATTGCAGGTAACATCCTCTCAGGACAAAATGATTTATGACTCATCAGAAAATTAACTCTAGTCAGTAAATTTGTGGATTAATACAACCTTCTTTCTTAAAATGATTTGCTACAGGGAGCCACTGGCTAGTCTGAAAAGACAAAAACTGGTTGTTATCAGGCCTTGTAACACACTGAAGATGCTTTATTCAGACAGTATTGTTAGTAAGCAGTTTTGCTGTTTTTAACTGTCCAACAGAGCTTTGTTAAAGAGATTGCCCTCCTCATTTTTACAGTTACCTCATGGAACAGATGAAAACTGGCTTCAAAAGCTATATAATAATTTCGTCAATAAAAATGCACTCTTTGAAAAGCCGAGGATGTCAAACACGTCGTTCATCATTCAACACTTTGCTGATAAGGTAGAGTGTAAACAACCCAGTATTATTTCATCCTGTTTCTAGCAGTAGCTCATTCAGAAAAGAAACAAACGCAGGAAATAGAGGAAATATTAACCACACTTGTTTGGAACTTTTATAAAATCGATCTTCAATACATAGTACTATTTATTTATTGGTAATACTGCCTGTAACATGCCATTTAAACAGAAGAAGTGCTTAAGATAATGAATTCGAGAGTACAAAAATGTACAAGATAGACAGAAGAAGAATACAATGTATAAATAAAATAGTGAAGAATGTAGTCTGTACATATTTTAGTCTGTTATTTACATTTCAGATGTAGTATTCCTTTTTTGGTATTTTGATTTGAAATCATAGAATAATGAAGAGAGGAGGAAAGACATTTCTAATGAAGGCAGAAGGAAATTGCAGTTGATAGTGGATTCTGACAGTTTGTCCTGCTTCTGAATTTGCAGTATGCATGTATATATGCTTCCCATAATGAAACTGGAAAAAGCAGAGTTTCAGCCATCATGCTGAAGACTAATAAAGAGCTGTTGGCCACCACAGCTTAGAGAGTAAAAATTATTGTTTTGCTAACTGTTCATGTATTGCTGAAAAGTTAATGATTTCACCCGTTTGCACAGGTAGAATATAAATGTGAAGGATTTCTGGAAAAAAACAGGGATACAGTATATGAAGTATTGACTGAAATCTTGAAAGAGAGCAAGGTTTGTGAACAATCAGTAATGATTAGTTTTCTGAATACCTGATTTTACTGGAATTCATTCAGATTTGATTTTAAAAGATTTGTTATGATAAAAAGATTATTTTAGTAGGTTGAATCAACTAGTTTAGTCTTAATTTTTATTAATATTCTACAAGTGTGTATTTTTAACATCAAAATAACATACAAGATGGAAAACCGCAGTATTCAACTTTTTCATATATGTGCATTTACTTTGCTAGTTATGTCAGTACTTTTTGGTTTTTTAATATCTCCCTTGAAAAGCATTTTGGAATCCTTGAAACTGAACAATTCACTTAGTTTTGTTTTTTTTTTCTTTTTTTTTTCCCCTCTAGTCATTGCATGTAGCTTTGATAGGTAGTTTATCATTAGCAGCTGCCTTTGTTTATTCTTCAAAAGAGATTAAGAGAATGCCAGGGCAGGGAAAACATCAGATATCTTTTATTTGCCTGCCACTTCCCATCTGCTTGAAGGCCCTGTCCCTTTCAAGTCTACAGCCTTGAGACTTCAGGATTACTGTTAAGAAGCTAACTTAATCTGACCAAAAAACATATCCTTAATTTAAATTAAATATTGTGAAAATATAACATTAAGTGGTTTTATTTTTAACTCCGTTCTATATTTATGTCCATGTTTGCTCATATTGAAATAATTTTTGCAGGCCTACTTAAGTTGTTGAGTTTTGTCTGTGAAATGTGTAAGTGCTTCACAATAGACTTAGAATTGTTGCAGCCGTTTCTTCAATTGTTGTTTGTTTGTGGCTTAAAGGTCTGGTTCCAAGTCCTGCAGTACATGGCCTAACCATTAAGATGGATGAGTTTTGCATTTTACGTTGTAGTAAATGTAATTTTTATTTAAATGTTATTACAATTACACAGTATTTAACTCTGATTCTTTCACCACACTTTTAGTTTCATCTGTGCGCAAAATTTTTTCAAGACAATCCAGTGTCCGTTTCACCTTTCAGTTCAACTATAAACATCAAATCGGCAAGACCTGTTCTGAAGTCACCTAACAAACAACTCCGGATGACTGTTGGCAGTAAGGTACTACATAAATGTGCTGTTCTGTGGTGCTCGTACTTTCAGGGAAGTGTACTGGGCAGTCTGAGACTATGGTGCTGTATTCTGTTACTATTCATGGTAGATTCATGGTAGATTATCCATGTTTCGGTACAGCAAGAGCCAGCCACAGTGCAGTATTCCAGGTCTGGATATAAGTAGATGTGTTTAATTTATATATATGATACTGTTAGGTACAGCATCAGGAATGTTAATTTTCCTGCATTTAAGATCTAAACCCTAAGAAAATCTGCCAGTGTCCAGCCAAAACCTAACAAAGAATTAAAAAACTAAGATTTTACTTTCTCCTTGGCTGTAAAAGTTTCATTAGCAAAACGGTTGTGTCTAATATTTTCTAGTTCCGGAGTTCTTTGTCTTTACTTATGGTGACGCTCAATGCAACCACTCCTCATTACGTACGATGCATAAAACCAAATGATGAGAAGTTGCCTTTTGAGTAAGTATGTTAGTGGTGTTAAGCTGTTACATTACCTTTAAAATTAAAAGGGTATTTTTCTATTTCACAGTAGCTACATGTCAGCAAACTAAATTCTTATTTTTAAACAACTTCCCATACAGAACATATTTTTCCTTTCAAGACAGCTGAAGTAAAAAAATACTGTCTTACAAAAATAGAATCATTCAGTAATAGTTATTGATAACTTAAAAATTCTTTATTATCCTAAGATTTTTCAGGTCGGATATTAGTGTTTCTGTATTTGTCATAACATTTTTAGGGGAAAGGTTGTCCACCTTTGATTTAAGTTGATGGATATTTTGTTTAGGTGTGTTTGCTCTTGTACAGTATGGATTAGCACCAATTCATATTTAAGGAATAAAAGTCACTGCCATTTCCTTTGTGAACTTCCCTTTTGTCCACAAAAATATTTAGAGGAGCTTTAGAAGTCAGAAGAGGTATGAGCAGTCTTGAACATAGCCTTGGTATTTCCCACAATTTTATTTTAATGTTATAATACAATCATGTATACCAGAGAGTTTGCATAATCCTTCTGTCTAGCTTGATAACCACTAATTGTAAGCAGGAGTTAACCTTGATGCAGCTATTGGTCTGGTTTGTGGGCAGACATGTGGAATCTAGTTTCAGTTGTACAGCTTTTAGCTGGAAGGTAGTGTAATGATAAATGCAATAAAAGCTTTTATCATATCTGAGTAGGATGGAAAGGCAAACTTTGATTCTAAATTAATTTTTTAAAATGTGTTAGCTCATTTTCTTGAAGCCAGACAAAATCTGTCCATGCAAAACATGTTACAAATGGCACTGTTTCACTATCACTGCAGTGACACCTCATTATTCTGTGTAATAGCCATGAGGGGGAAAATAGCTTGGATAATACAAAAACATGTCTGAATTAGACTAGAAGAGCTTACTGTAAGTTTGTGAAAGAGCAATATAGTAATCTGTCAGCCACAGGGGTCTCTTAGCTAGTACTGGACTGACACCGTAGCGTAGTGCTCTGTGGGCATATCAGCTCTGGTCCAGAATTGGAAAGGGTCTTTCCATGCCTTGTGTTGATAATCTTGAACACAGTTATTCATGAGTAAATCCTGCTTTATTCATGATCATTGTGCTAAAGAGTACCTAGAGAGAGTTATTGCCCAATAGACTGCTGAGGGAATGTTTATGTCTGTGTATGTTTTATGCCGAGAGTGGCATGATTCTTTACCGCTTGGTGACATGAGCTTTCACAGTTAATATTGTAAAGAAACAGGGCTTTTCGTAAGAGAAAAATATAGTCTTCCTTTTGTTTTGAAGCAGAAAAAGAAAACCCAGATGCTCCCTATCACATATTAAAAAAAAACCAAGTAAGACACCATATAAAAAGTAGGGAGCCCTGCATCCTATGGGCAGAGATAGAAATCCAGCTAGTAAAATGGTTATAATTATTATAGCATGCCAAACCCAGCAAAAATGTAAAATATAACTCTGCTTTTTTAGGTTTGATTCAAAGAGAGTGGCTCAGCAACTGCGAGCATGTGGTGTTTTGGAAACTATTCGGATTAGTGCACAGAGCTACCCATCCAGGTAGGGATAGGAGTAGGCCTCCATATGTCAAAAAATACTTGGGTGTTTCTTAATGAATTGCATTTGCTAACCTTTAATTTTCCAGGTGGACTTACATTGAGTTTTTCAGCCGTTACAGCATTCTTATGACACAACAGGAACTCTCCATAAATGATAAGAAGCAGATTTGCAAGACTGTTTTGCAGCGGCTAATCCAGGTTAGTTGGTATGCCCTGACCCATTACGTATTATAGTATCTATTATTAATAAAAGGTCTCTTTTGCCAAGAGTAGCATCTCACTCTTCAAACAGGAAAAATATTTACGTTATCACTATCTTTCCTGATTTAGTGTGTTGCACGTAGGCTTGCGAGTCAATAACCTTGTGTTGTGACACAGTCATGATGTGGTTGTAGACAGATGATTTAACCTCTGTGCTTAATAGCTGCACTCGTAAAATGGAAGATATTCTACCTGTATTTATAAACCAGTGAAGAGTAAATGGTATATGTTTGTCAAGTATTAGAAGTTTACACACACAAGAGGGCTTTTGATGGTGGAATGCAGCATAGTGGAGAACTGTTCTAAAAATGTGCTATTTTACATGTTGCTCCTACTTGTTAGACAAGTCTGTAGTGATGAGGCTGGTCCAAGCCAAGCCAGCAATTCAAGTCAGCATGTCGGGACTGAGTTCAGACTCAGGGATGTATAAGGCCAAACACAGGCATACTTGCAACATAGCTCCAGCACAGGCCAAGGGTGGGAGCCTGACCTTAAAAGCAGCTTCCCCCCTGAGTTTTTGCTCACGCAGCTCGCTGATTCAAGGCCAGACATGCACCAAAAGGTAGTGTTGAGCCCAAGGAACCAGACTTGTAAGGGGAGGTGAAGAGGTTGCTTTCAAGGCCTTGATGATAAGTCCAGATCCTCCCTTTGAGATCACTAGGGTGTGATTTTTGGATGTAATTCTCTGGTTCTTTCCTGCTAAGTGGATTTTCCCCCTGTATACTCCTATCTACAAAGAAGGCAGAGAGGATATTCTTATTCAGCAAGATCATGTCATTTCAGAAGAGCTTGCCTGAAGTGAAAATCTGTAAAAGGAAGAAAGTGTCTGGTCTGCAATAATAAACTAAAAACTTAATATACCTATTGTTTTCTTTTTCAGGATCATAACCAATATCGGTTTGGGAGAACAAAAATTTTCTTCAGAGCAGGACAGGTTGCTTACTTAGAAAAACTGCGATCAGATAAACTGAGACATGCATGCATCATGATCCAAAAGAGTGTTCGAGGCTGGCTGCAGCGGAAGAAGTTCCTTCGCATAAAACAAGCCGCTATTATAATACAGCAGTATTTCCGGGGGCAGCGGACTGTACGGTACTTTTGGCTGATAAATGAATTTGCTGTTAGGGCGTGCCTGAAGGGATATAGAAGGTCAGACTAATGCCCGACACTAACTGGGAAGTGTAATTTTTACGAAAGAGCAATTCAGATTGTATTTGTTTCCTCTTGATTGTAATTGTGGGCTTGAAAATGTTCAAGTTATTCAGATGCTAAGAAGAAAGTACTCTAGCAGGTTTCAAATGCTGTCTGCCAGATTCCCGAGAGGCCTGTGTACCTGTAAGCTCAGTCCTTAGCTAATGATGAGTGACGCAGTTGTCGGCTTGGGCTTACTGCTTAGCTTCAGAGCCAGGGAAGAAATCAGGTAGCAGAAAGGAAAAGCAATTTACAAGGGTCTACAAATTAGCGCGTACAAATTATTACGAGGAATTTGCAGCAGAGAAACTGTGCACCAGTCATTCACAGAGCAGACTGAGAGGAAGATGGGTCTATGTAGGCTTTGAAAGTTTCAGAAAGAGAACATCAGAACAATTGCTTGTGGAACACATTTCAAAGATTGTGGATAATTCCCTCTGTTTCAGTTTGATTGAAGATTTGTGTGTATGTGATTTGGCTGACCAAGGGAATGAGTATGAGAAATCTAATGTGACCTTAGTAAACTTTATTGTCTTTTGAATTAAGGCAAGCTATAACTGCAAGAACTCTGAAGGAAACATGGGCAGCTATAATTATTCAGAAATACTGTCGGGGTTACCTGGTCCGTAGACTTTGCCAGCTCATCCATGTGGCTGCTGTAACAATTCAAGCTTATACAAGAGGATTTCTAGCAAGAAAAAAATATCGGAAGGTACAGCCTATCAAAAATTTCATTTCGGTAACTGGAAACAGCAATTGCTCTGTAAGAAATATGGAGACAAGGGCAATGATCCCTAGTACTTTACCTTTTGCACGTCTGGTTCTCATGTCTTCTACTCTATTTTTATATTGTTACTATAAAAATACTGATACACGGTAGCTTAGATCTAATCTCTGAGCTACCAAGAACTCTGTCTGGTTTATACTTGATGCAGATCATTCAGTGCGATTACTACAGTGGTTCAAATTGTGTCTGCAGTCCAGGTAGTTCAGTATTCTGACACTTCTGTGGGAAGCATTGTCGTTACCGGTGTGTATAGATTCACAGAATGTTATAATTCATGCTGATGGAGTCATAGATGATTATAGACAGATGTTAATATTTTATTTTAAAGATGCTTGAAGAACACAAGGCTGTGATCCTTCAGAAATATGCCCGTGCATGGCTTGCCAGGCGCAGATTTCAGAATATTCGACGGTTTGTATTGAATATCCAGCTTTCATACAGAGTTCAGCGACTGCAGAAAAAGATAGAAGAACAGGTGAGGGACACCAGTCAGTTTATGATTTGTACTAATTTTTTTATCATATCTGTTTTATTCAGAGCTCTCATGTTGACTAGAATCTTACATGAATTACAATATCCATACCTTACTTGACAAGACAGGAGAATATGTAATGGATATGGTCCTTTATAATAAACCACTAGTATTGTTCCTACATCCAGGGTAGGAAGAATCATCCAGGGTTTCCTTATATTTTTGTGTTAGTTGTGCCAATGAGAAGAGTCTGCAATGAACATTTTTTTTACTGTTTCTTAAGTAGTCCGTTCAGCCTCTGAATGGGGTACTTATATTAGGATGAAGGATGTGTGAAGTACTGCTCTAGTGCAACATATTTAGTAACTTTTGGGAATTCCATGTTATGTTTATTTTGCAGCTTATTTTTGAGAGCCATACCAGCCAAATCATCTTTAAGTTGATAGCTTTAATCTAATTGATGGAAACAATCCTTGGTTGAAATAATAATGACTGATAAGGCATGGTGAGCAGAAATAGGTCAGGTGCTTCCTTCAAAATTCTATTAAACAGTTTCAGGTGTGCATTTTTCTGTTTTCTTTTAACCTCTCTTGCTCATTGTAGAGTAGAGAAAATCATGGCTTGCTGGAACGATTGACCAGTCTGGCTTCAACTCATATGAATGACATGGATACAATTCAGAAACTCGAATTAGATCTTGAAAAGTTAACTGCTCAAAAGAGAACATATGAAGAGAAAGGGAAAAAATATAGAGAGGACAGTGAACAGGTAAATTTTAATTGCCATCTGTGTGCTTTTATTTTAGTTTAAATAATTTTTTCAGTTACTGGATTTATCAAATGCATGGTTAGAGAGTTACTTAAGTAACTTCACTTTTTATGCTTGTTAAAATACAAGATCTTCTGTGACCTATTTCTTCCTGCTTTGTAAATTGTATGTAATGCTTACTTTTTGTGTGTACAGAAAATCTTAAAACTTGAGAATCAGAATAAAGAACTACAAGAACAGAAAAAGACCTTAGAAATAAAGCTCCAAGAAAAAACTGAGGAAATGAAAGGTACAATAACCAAAAGGAATTATAAAGGAGTTATAGTGGGGGAAAGTTGTAAAGTCAGGTTTTCAGCAAAGGTAAATGACTTTTGTTCTAATAAAAGCAATATAAATGCTGAATTTACAATAAATTAAAAGTTGGTCCTAAGCTTCTCTTGCTTAGAATGTGTAGTGCAAATGCTTTTAATTTAATAATTAAATTAAATTAGTTCTTTCGGTAGGAAAAGCTCTCCTCCTATTGTGTTTCCCGTCTCATACACATGCATTCCGTCAAAGTGTTGCTTTGCCCTTGGTTCCTTTAATATACTGCTTTTATGAATCTAATTTCAAAGGACACAGGCAGCACATGAGATCCAGTATATTTTAGATTAATAACACTTTGGTGTTTCAGAACCTTTTTATTCTATAGCATTACTTGTAAAATTTACTGTGATAATTTTTGGCGCTTGAGAGAGTAATTTCAGCCTTAAAATACGTTAAGGATTGCTTATTAAAACAAAACTTCTCATTGTGGTCATACTGTTTTAATAAATGCACATAATTACATCAAGGTCTTTGAAATATTGAAATATTTTTTCACAGAGAAAATGGATGACCTCACAAAGCAACTCTTCAATGACGTACAAAAAGAAGAAAATCAGAGAATGTATGGAATCTGAATTTTATTGCTTTTTTCCCTGCCTTTCTTTCTCCTGCTGTAAATGTATTATGCTCACATCACTTAAGAATCCATCAGCGTTCTTGGACATTAATGTTAGTACTGAAGTACTTCATGTACAGTTAAGGAAAAGGACATGCTTGTTTGTGTGTCAGTCACATGCAGGAAATTATATTGTACACTTGAGACTGTTCTTGCTTTTGCAGTTTCCTGTCTTTTCATGTGTCTTTCTGAGAACTGAAAGGCAGCCTTGATGGTAATGGTTTCTCAGAATTCAGTCAGGGCTGGAAGAGCAGCTGATGGCCATACCAGTCAGAATTCCTGTGAAGTTAATATGAAAGGACAAAATTGAAAGATTCAGCTTGAAGGAAATGCAGTGTTTGTAAAGGACATTTGGCCGGTATTTAATTCACCGTATTAAAAATGTTGTTATTTAGCAATAAATGGTTGTTGTTTTGCAGCATGCTTTTCTCAAATCAAGTGTTTATTTCTCAGTAACTCTCTTCCAGTATAAGACAGAGAACCTTAGGTACCAGATAAGTGCTGTTCTCTGAATCGTGAAGAGTGCAATCAGTCACTGTTCCTGAGGGTTGCAAGCTGTGTGGGGTTTCAGCTCAGTCTGATTTTAGCCACAAATAACTTCAGGCTATACTAAGAGGACTTCTTTGCTAGATTTTCTGCTTTGCCCATTAGCTATATTATGTTGGAAGTCGGTCCATTCCAGCAGGGACTAGTAGAAAATGAAAAGCTTCTTGCAGTGTTTTACTGAGAAGGACACATGGCTTTCCATTGCTATGTCCTTCTTCAGTGCTGACTGTGGCCATAAACGTAGTGGAAAGCTGCTCAGGTAGGCTAACTCTCAAAGAGTTAGGGAATTAGCCTTTAAGTGGAGAAAAAACTCAGTTTTGCCTTGAATTCAGTCCCAATATATGAATTAGATGGAGGGAAATCTAGGGACATTCTCATCCCATTATCATCCATTTTGTAGATTGATTCTGAGGATGTAGGATAGCATTTTCAAATAATTATGGTTCATTTAAGTTTTCTTCAACAAAACATGTCCTTCAAATTAAAACAAAACCGAAGCCCGCTCTTTCATGTAGGAATGTAGGAAAATAAAACCACCTTTTCATTGTCTTGTTTAGGATACTTGAGAAAAATTTCCAAAATCAGAAGCAGGACTATGAAAAGGAGATTGAATTGCTCAAGGGAGAAATTAAGATTCTGAAAGAAGAAAAAACTCAGCTACAACATCAAATTCAGCAAGAAATTGTCATTCAGGATGGCTTGAAAGTGGAAGTAGGACAACTTACAAAACAAGCACAGGTAAAGTATAATGCATTTCATTTTGGAGTCTTTGCTAGATAAAGCAAGTAGAGAATATGGGTGTTTTTATTTACAGATTATCTTCACTATTTTTTTTTCTCCAGTGCATTTTTAGAAGAACTTGTAGTTAATAAGCTTTATTTGATACGACACTATGTTGCATTATTTTCATGTAGTACGCAATATGAGTAAGTTACTGCTGGCAGAAATAAGTGCATGTTTTGAAGAGTAATTATGCCTGAATATTTATATGTTTAAATGTGTGGATCTTTTTTTCTTCCTTTTTCCAAAAAAGTATTAGTTTCTCGGGGCATGCGCGCACGTGTGTGTGAAATAAATGCAGTTTATAAACTGAACCTGAAAATAGTACTGTTGTGTAAAGCCACATTTTTTTTCTGAGTCAATTCCATGACACAAACGTGTATGTTTTCACTACATTGCATTACTGTTCTGCTCTGATGCCTGAAAACCCGATGCTTTAAACACAACATGTTTTAAGCCTTTTACCATATGAACTTGTTCTTAATTATAATTATCTTCATGATTTAACTGATACTCAGCCATTGTCATTCACTCCTTGTCTCAGTCTGTAATTTTTGTCTGATTTAGAAAATACCTGAGTTGCAAAAGGAAATTGAACTGCTGCAGACACAGAAACTGGATGTTGAAAAGCAGGCCCAGTCACAGAAGCGAGAATTGAGGGGTAAGCTACATACTAGATAATTCAGAGAACTTATCAAGTGCACTGTGAACCAGACCAGTTTAAACTGATTTCTTCCATGTTAGCTTTGACAAAAACCCAGTTCCCTTTCCCATCCCATAGTGATTTCATTCTATTCATACCTTCACTCACAAGGGGAAAAAAAAACCAAAACAACAGGTGAGTTTTACAAAGTGATCATTGAATACTGAAATCTGAGATCCCCCTTGGAAGAAACTCTGATTTCAAACACTTCTCCTTTGTGGTTAAAAATCAATACTAATAACTTAAACTTCACTTTGAACTTAACAAGTAGCTTGTAGGGACCCAAGAATACAGAAACAATACATATCTAGCTTTCATTCATCCTGTTGTTAGCCTTAGATCCAATAAATGTCAAATATGCTTAAATAACTTGCTGAGTTGGGTTCTCTTTGGGAAAAGGTACTTAATAAGAAGCACTACTGTTGTGCACTTTGTTCAATGCTAACAATGTCATAGAGTAAACCTGTATCTGCAGCATTAAATGTAGTAACTTAGCTCTAGATGACAAATCATCTATACAACTCTTAGCAGTGGTCCAGATACAGAACAGAAAGATGTAACTTTGCATTGAAAGTTTTGATGTTTAGGAAAAAAAACAAAATTAGTGGTATACCTATCTAGTGCACCTCCTGTGTCCCTCACCATATTCTTGTAGTAAATCAGATATATTTACTGAGTACCAGGCAAGAACTTGTAGGTTTAGGAAGAGGTTGGTTTGATTTTTATAATGAAACATAATTTGAGATGTATGGAGAAAATTATTCATGTAATAAACTTTGCTTTTTCCAGAAAAGATGTCAGAAGTTACAAAGCAGCTTCTTGAAAGTTATGATTTTGAAGATGTAAGAAGCAGGTAATTTTGTTCTGAGGTCTCTTTAAAAAAGCTTAAGAAATGCATTTTGTTCACTTGCACACTAATGATACTGCCTTGTATTCTAGACTCTCTACGGAGGATTTGGAACACTTAAATGAGGATGGAGAACTGTGGTTTGCTTACGAGGGCTTGAAAAAAGCTACAAGGTTAGTTCAGTTCTTCAGTGTTTTTATAACTCCAAGCTGTGATCTAGAAAATAAACAGAAAGATCAGTGAGTAACTAATTTGACAGTGCAATACTGAACATCTGTTTAAGAAATGAAAACTACGTTATATGACTGGCTGAGCAGCTTAAAATCACTTTTAACAAATTTTTACTAAGTCAGTGAGATAAGTGTGTATGTGTCAGTCGGGAAAATGTGTTTCTTCTGAGATATCACGCATAACTTTCAACTCCCTTAATGCACAGGTGATGTAACGGAATGTCTGTGTGTTAACCACAGTACTTTGTTTTCACTTTATATTAAACTTGATCCATTGCATCGAGGTCATACTACATCGGCCATGTTCTTTCTCCCTTTTTTTAACAGAGTATTGGAAAGTCATTTCCAGTCTCAGAAAGAAATATATGAAAAGGAGATTGAAGGTTTGAACTTTAAAGTTGAACACCTAAGCCAAGATATTAATCATCTACAAAAATTATTTCGAGAGGAAAATGACATAAATGATGGTATTCGACTTGAAGTTAGCAGGCTGACTTCAGAAAACCTGGTAAGATCAAAGTATAGTAAAGTAAAGCATGTTTTTGTTACTTAGTAATACAATCCAAATATGTTTGTGGCACAGAGTCCTCAAAATCATGCGGTCATGTCCTTGAAATCTCAAGGCTCGAACAGATAGGGCCCTTTGAGATCGCACATCCATACAGACTTTTTTTTTTGGGGTAGTGTGTCAGGAGGCAGCCAAATTTATTGTCCAAGTGTACAGCTTGTTGGGGCAGCCTCCCAGAGGCTTTTTCCCTTTTCTTTTGTGTAAACCTGAATTGAAATTTGATTCTAGTCGTAGAATGGCAAAATACCATTTTGCAAACTCTGTCTTGGTGTGTAGTGCACACACAGGCTTTAGCTTCTGCTGTTGATAGCTAGGGAGACACTGAGAATTTTTAGAATGCGTTTGAACCCTTGTACGCTTATGTGGCTGGATATTCAGATTTTATAAAAGATGTTTTGAACTTCAAAATGTGGCCAGTGTGTCCATTGCTGAGCTCATACAAATATTTTGGTTGTGCTTTTTGCAATTTCCCAACAATGCGAGGAACTTTTGAGGGGTGTAATAATTTCTACAGATATGCAGCTTTATACTGGAAGTCATGAAGAAACAAGTATTTATCTAGGTTTTTTATTTACACCGAATTTTAACTAAAAAATGAATCAGAGGTTTAGCAGTGACCAGAGAGTTAGCTCACCATACCTTTTTAATACCTACCTAATTTAAACTTCTCATCTGATAATTAAAAAAATAGCTATTTTTTGGTCAGGCGGTATGTTTTTCTGATGGAACACTTTCGGTATTTCAGACTTAATGAAAAGCAGTTTTGTGATACTGTAACTTTCTATTGGTCAGTATTATAACAGTGTACTGGGTCTGTCTGGGATGGAGTTAACTTTGTAGCAGTCCGTATGATGCTGCATTTTGCATTTGTGGGTGAAACAGTATTGATAACGTGGCAGTGTGTTGGCTGTTGCTGAACAGAGCTTGCACAGTGCCACGGCTTTGTCTTTTTCCTGCTCTGCCCCACTTCAGCAAGTTAAGCTGGGGGTGGGCAAGAAGCTGGGAGGGCACAGAGCCCGGACAGCTGACCCGAGCTGACCAGAAGGGTATCCCCTACCATATAATGTCATGCTCAGCTATAAAAACTGAGGTAGAGGAAGAAGAAGGGGGGTGTTTGGCTTTATCTTGACCCAGAGGTTTTTTCGCTTCTGCTCTTCCTGTTCTCTTCCCTGTTCTGCTGGGGCGTGGGGTGGGGGTAGGGGGGAGTGAGCATCTCTGTGGGTGCTTGGCTGCTGGCCAGATGGGGTCAACCCACAGCAACCAGCTTCAATTTTCATTGTACTGAGGCATTCAAGTTCAGAATTTAATTACTTCCTTCTTTCTCTGTAGTCAGAGGACAGAAATTAGCATCTTTTTCTCAGAAGCCTCTTTAAAGCTATTTCTGTCTCTCAGGTTGACAAGTTCTATGCTTTGATAGTGAAAAACCAGATGCCTGGGGGATTTATGGTGGTTAACAGGTTTGTGCAGTTCTGAGGCTCTCCCCACCAGAGGGCAGCTAAGCATATCGAGTTGCTAACAAATTGCAGGGAAGGCTTAAGAGTCTAATTGTTAGTCCTGTGTAAAACCTATCTAACACAAGGAAGTGTTATTATTCCAGAAGACAGTATATACCCTATTATTTTTCTGCTGAGTGAAAAATAACTAAAGAAAGATTTTCAAAACAAAGTTACTAAAATCAAAAATATAAGGAAAAGTTACTTATAATGTTAAAAATGATTTTATAACGTATTGGTTTTTTTCCAGTGCTGATTAAGCTAGGGAAATTAAAGCCATGGTGCAGTTTCCTTTAAACTAAAACAGAAGAATAGTAGCACTGACCCAGTCCAAACATGTAGTTAGCTCATTATTTTATTTTTAAGAGTAGCCAGCAGCAGATGCCTCTAGAAGGTACACAAGTCAGGCAAGCAGGTAGCAGTACTCCCTCACAGTGTGTCCCCAGTCTTTGACTATTTGCAGTTGAAGGTCTTCTGGTGTCATAGGAACTATTGCAGACATTTGAAAAGAAGGAAGGTGCTGAAATACACAAATCTCCTTTTTCTCCAAAAGGTGATCCCAGATCTTAAACAGCAAGTTTCTGAACTTGAAAATCAAAAATTAGATCTTGAAAACCGTCTTCAGGAACAGACTGTAAAGTTGAAAGGTAAAGTACCAGTATGGTCCCTAGTCTTACAGTTGTTTAAGATTAACATGATAAATTCACTATATTTGAGTTTTTGAAAGCTGAAGCAATATTACCTGATAACTTCATTGCCTTATTACTTACTTTATTGCTAGTAGAATGTAAGAAACATGATGAAAAAATGTGTTGTGTAGTTTATATCTGTTATTAAAGAATAAAATATACGCAAGTATGTGTATTTTGTCTTAACCTTTTTTAGGTCATTCAGTTCTATGGTTTGGATGTCTGCAAGTGTATTCAGTAGGGCTCTGCTAAGAATATGTGTAATGGAGTACGCCCTTTGGAAACAATCATAAAAAGGAAAGATGTTACGGAACATAAGGCATACTCTACAAGGTGGACTTCAGAGGGTGTTGAAAAATTCAGAGTGGGAGACAGAGGGAAAAGTTCTAGCTAAATTTACCTATTTGAAAGTTCTTCTCAGTTCACAAAAGCATGCTTTGCTGAGGTTTCTGAGTCTCTAGCTATAGTGTCTTCCTAGGCAATTGATTTAAAATTTGCAAGTAGTTTTATTGCCAACTGCATGAAGTTAGTAGTGTCAAAATTCTCTATCCCATATAATCTTCTGTGTGGTGTGGAGTAGTCAGATATTTCTCTGATACATTATCTGGCATGTCGTTCAATTTTGTTAGATGGAACAAAATTATGAGTGTAAGAGATTTACTGAATACCAGTACAGAACAATAAGCAAATGTGATTTTGTTGTTTTTCTTTTGTTTTGGGTTTTTTTGCTAATTATTACTGAAAAAAAATGAAAGAGATGTCTAATCGGCTGCATTATGAGCTAGAAGGGGATAGAACACAAAGACGGTAAATATTTTTTCTTTTTTTTAATGTAAGAAATGTAGTTGCCATAAGCTGGGGTAACAAAGTCACTTAAACTGTTTAAAGTACCACATCCAATGTGAGATTTGCCTTACAGCCTTGTGTACAGTTAATAAGTAATGGACAAGTATGATACAACTATGCTTTATCAAAAGAAGAATAAGAGACAAAGCTTCCTATCTATCTACTCCTAGAACAAATGAGGCACAGAATGAAATAGACATAAAAGAAAAAGAGAGACTGAAAGTCACAACCCAAGAAATTGAGGGGCTGAGCAATGGTTTGATGCAAGATGAAATCCAGGATAAAGTAAAAAGCAAGATAAAGCAAGAAACAACTCGACTTACTGTGGAAAACATGGTGAGGAAATGAAACTGTCATTAAGAAACTGTACCTGAAATGCAGGATAAAAAGAAAGAAATCATGGTTTCATGGCGTGGGCAGGATGTTTTCTCAGTTCATTGGGGGAGAAAAAAAGATAGGAAGGTTTCATGTTTCTTCCACCAAATATAAGTAAAAGCACATCATAGTGCTCTTTAATTGTCACAATAATATGTAGCAGCAGAAGACATTTTTTAATTGTGGTTCCTCTGAACTCACTGACTTTGATTATTACAGGATCTTGAAGAAGAACTAGACATGAAAGACAGAATAATAAAAAAATTGGAGGATCAGATCAAAACTCTTACCAAGACTATTGAAAAAAGTAAGATATTGTGGTGTGATTTTTTTTTTTTTAAAAATACAAATTTGGATGTTCAGTGTGGGTTTGAAAGAAAGTATATTTAAAAAAAAAAAAAGAAAAAGGTAGGGTTTGGGGTGGGGTTAGGAATTTTAAAACCTCAGAAAAAAGTGCCAGGGAACCATCAACAGAAATCATATAAAAGCCCTTTCGTGTATTTTTTTTTTCCAGCTAAATAATGGGCATATATGGGACCTAGACTATATGATAAAAGATTAAGCCAGGGGCATCAGATTCTGTCAACAAAAGTTAATACATACCCTCACACCAACTGCCTCTGAGCCAACAGAATGTTAGTTTTGCATCAGATGAGTAGCTCCTCCCATGACCTTCAAACAGCAGATGGTTCCTGATTTGAAATTAGTTTGTACAAAACTCTTGTATAGCAAGTAATTCTTCGCTATAGAATACACTTCAAGACATTGTAGAGGTGACTAATGTAGAGCTGTATTGTTGCTGTTTGTCTTATTAGTGCAAGTAATTCCACTGAATCCAGTGAAACTAATCACATTAATAATATAAATGTTATTTATCTTGTAATGCTTGGAACCATAAGCTAAGAACGTTATTGTGAACAGGGCCCATACTTTCTTTATAACAGAGAAAACTGCTTTGCTCCAATAGTTTGTTCAAATGTGAACGTTAGCTTAGCCGTTTACCCACAGGTAACAGTGCTTTTGTGTTTGACAGCTGAAGCTCATGTGCCAACTTCGTCCAAAGAGTACATTGGAATGATGGAGTACAAAAAAGAGGACGAAGAAAGAATCATTCAAAATCTGATCCTCGGTATTTTAGTAACACTTCAAATTTTATCAGTAGTCAACAATATTCAGTGTAGAACACTGCAACAAAAACTACAAGGCGCCATATTTCACTTACATTCAAAGTTGCCTTTTTTCCCCACTCTTTTACCACCAATATGACTTGGAGGCTCCATATTGCTTTTTTTCTACTGCCAGGCATTTCAAATACAGAAGTGCTTTATCTGCATAAAAATAATTTGTCTGACTCTACATAATGCTGACTCTATTATCTTTCTTATTATGTCTTCGCTTATAAAGCTATAAATCTCGAGCACTTCAGGGACTTGAATTTACTTTTTTCCTGGTCATCTACTAAGTCTGTAAGTCACTGGGCTTATATCCATGTGTGATGTATTACCTTCCTGTCTGTTCTTTCTATATCATTATCTTCACTGAAAGGAACTGTACTTTCATGTTTCTCTTGTAGAGGAATTTTGTCCGTCCTCTGAGTTACTTCACAATATCAATCATACTGCCAAACCAGCTTTTTGCGTTAGCTTACAATTAAGAGTAAACTGGATAAATTTTCCACGTACGTTAGTACCCTTATAAACTACTGCTTGGAAACAACATCTTCCTTTTCTTCTCATCTGCTTCAGCCTTGTGAATGTTTATATCTTTGGTATCATTAAGCAATGCCAGAATTTGGTGGGGCCTCCAGTGGGTACGTTAATGCAAATTGCTCTTTGAAGTTGTCCGGTCTGGCATAGCCCATGCTGGACCTTAGAATTTGCTACAGTATTATCCTGTTACTCTGGAAAACTTAATTAATACTCTTATATGAACAATACTGTTACAGAAGTTTTCAGAAACAAGCAATTAATCAGTAAAGCAATTATCAAGTGACTGGTCACTGAAGAAATAAACCCCATAGTGCTTGTCTTTTTCAGAATGATACATTGAATCATTGAATTTTTATATAATAAACCTGATGAATCTCCTTTATGCAGATTTAAAGCCACGTGGAGTTGTAGTTAATATGATACCTGGCCTTCCAGCTCACATCCTGTTCATGTGTGTGAGGTATGCAGATTATCTGAATGATCCTGACATGCTGAAATCTTTCATGAATGTAACCATTGATGGTATCAAACAAGTTGTTAAGGTAGGAATTACGTTTGGCTGTACTGTTTTGATTTTTAATGTAAGGTTTACAAGATGCATGCATGGTATCTGGGGAATGCTCACACTTCCATTTGCTAGTGTTCCTATAATAGAATAGTAATTATTAGTGATACTCTTTTTGAAGTTTATAGTAGCATCCCTGTAAAGCCTCCAGGTCAGGTTCTACTGTGCTGAACACAGAATGCATTAACAGAAATTGTTTTTATCTGAAGAGCTTGTTGACAAAATCATTTAAAGTATTTTACATTTTATGGTGAGTAGCTAATTAGGTGAAGCGCACTTGTGCTTTCAGCACTGGTGAAAGTTGGATGGACAGAAATGAGGATTAGTATGTTTGGCAGCAGGCAGGTATTGGAATTTTCAGAGGTTTTTACACTGCTGTTGTACTAGTTCAATGTTTTTTTGACATGTCATTTGGTACTGCAGCATTAGTACCCAAATGATGAAAGTTATGTTGCCAGCCAGTTTACATAATCAAGTTATAAACAAGAATTGTTAGCCTGTTGTCTCATCTATATAACAAATTCAGCTATATGAATGCTTTATTATGAATTTGTAATGCAATAAAACACGAGGCATGCTTTGTAGCACAGGCAGGAATGGACTATGGTTTATACAGTTGAATTTGTTGTATAGAGAATGCCTAGGTTTTTTGTGATCAAATTTATAGCACAGTTTATCCATTAGAAAAGCTTGTGCTTACTTAGCTAACAAAAATAAAACATACACATAGCTAGAATTGTGTTTATATGTAGTTCAATTTCATTTGTGTATACCGGCTTGTTAACACTTTTTAGCAGGAAGGCCTGCAGTACACTACAACACTATAAACAGAAATGTTTAGAACTGTTTGGTTCAGACTTATTTAGCCAGTTTGTCATTAAACATTGTTTACCAGATAAAAGAGGGATCTTTGCTATATGTATATTAGCCTAAAAACACAGCATGTTGTGTTCAGCTAGCATGTTATAGATGCTGTATGCTCCTTCTGCTATATACCGGCTCTATTATACCAATTCTGTAATGGTCTTTAGTGATTAAATTAACTTCATGAGACAGTACCATTATATGATTGTTGCTTATCATTTTCAGGAACATTCGGAAGACTTTGAGATGTTGTCCTTTTGGCTTTCCAATACATATTATTTTCTTAACTGTTTGAAGCAGTACAGCGGGGAAGAGGTAGGAATTATTTCATCAAATAATTCCATTACTTTACTTGTGACAGACTTTAATTGGAATTAAAAATAGTGATAAAAGATAATTATTCACCAGCTCACCACTGTTCCTTCCAGATATTTAGATATTCATATTTCTCTGCAGTGGTGTTACATGTCTTACACAAATAATAAGACAGTATAGAACTAACAGATCAAGTGAAATCAAGGAAACATTAAAGTGCTAAAGTAGGTTAAAGACATGATGTGGAAACTGCTACATAATTTGAACTCTTCCACGAGAGTTTAATGTGAGCTGGACTTCAGATGTCCAGCTACGTATATATAAAAAACCAGTTTTACTATTTTATAATTGTGACCATCCAAACACCTACTGCTACCAATATGAGATTACAGAAGAAAACCTGAGGAAAGGGGCTAAACAATAAATACCCATTTTTTTCCTTATTTCACTTGCTTCTTTAAGCTAAGTTTGATCCTGAAATACAAAATTCTTTTAAATTATTTAAATTGCAAACTCTTACTATATTTTATTGCTAGGTTTTATAAACTTAGGTAGACTGAACTGAAATTGCATAGGCACATAAAAATATAGTCTTCAGGATTAAAGCAAAGAGGTGCCACAAGGCCTCAGAATCACAGTAACTGTGTACTGTCTAAACAACAGTGCTCCCTCTTGTGGTCATATCGATAACATCTAAAGAGCAATGGAGACTTGAAAACATTTAAACTTACTAACAGTCTTTTTTAATCTAGTTGCAACAGTAGG